CCTTTTTCATAAGATAAAGATGAAAGCTTTCAACTCTGCCGCTGCTGACGAGTTCATCTATGGTGATATGCTGCAGCGCTTCCTCTATTTCTTCTCCCCCCTGCAGCCTAGATAGAGAGATGCTGCGGCATCTGCTGATGCCTGAGCAGTGCCAGTATGCGGGTTTATAAACAACAAGCCAGCTGGCCCCTTCAGCTATCACATACGGCGCAGCTTTCTTGAATACACGCCTGCTGCTGCTGCTGCTGCTGCTGCTGCTGCTGCTGCTGCTGCTGCTGGAGGAGGAGGAAGAGGGGGTTGTGCTGGTTAGGGTCGTTGATGATGTGCTTGATGCTGGCGTTGTGCTGCTTGTTGGACTGCTACTGCTGCTGCTGCTGCTGCTGCTGCTGCTACTTGCTGCTGCAGATGGAGGTGAAGAACCACCACCAACAGCAGCTCGTGTACTGCTGCTGCTGCTGCTGCTGCTGCTTGGGTGCTGCTGCGATTCACGCTGCATGCAATGCAGAGGAGGAGGAGAGGCATCTTTATATATTTCATCTTCGTCGGGGTCTGACTCCCACCGCTCCAGCAGCCAATCAGCAGCAGCAGCAGCAGCTTCTGTGCTGCTGCTGCTGCTGCTGCTGCTGCTGCATGCAGCAGCACGACGAGATCCACCAGCACCACCACGTCGAGGAGAACCATCTGCTGCTGCTGCTCCCGATGATGATGTTGCTGCTGTTGGTGTTGCTGCTGCTGCTCCCCCTGCTGCTGCTCCTGCTGCTGCTGCTGCTGCTGCTGCTGCTGCTGCAGGAGAAGACGATCCCCACGGCCCCACGCGGTGCCCCGCGGGGGTTCTGCCTTCAGCAACATGCGCCCACATAGGTGGTGTTGCTGCTGCTGCTGTTGCTGCAGCTGTTGCTGCTGCTGCTGCTGCTGGTTGTTTTCTTTCGTGTTCTTCTGTTTCTGCTGCTGCTGCTGCTTCCTCTGTAACGCTTGAGAGTTGTGGCGATCCTGCTGCTCTAGCAGCAGCAGCAGTATCTGCACCTGCAGCAGCAGCAGCAGCAGCAGAGGTAGCCGGCAGAGCAGGTGCTGCTGCTGCAGCAGGTGCAGCAGCAGGAGCAGCAGCAGGATATGCAGCAGCAAGAACAGAAGGAAGAACGAGAGAAGAAAGAGAAGAAGACAAACCAACAACCCGAGGGAGAGCCATCTGCGTCGCCTTCACTGATGCTAGCCACTTCAGCAGCACAGCAACAGCCCAAGCAACAAGCGCATCAACCCCCCCCGCAGCAGCAGCAGCAGCAGCAGCAGGTACTACTGCACCTGCTGCTGCTGCTGGAGCTGCTGGAGAGGAGAGCT